AGCTTTTCTTTTTTTATTTCAGTAAGAGATTTTTATTTAATAGAATTTTTGGACAAAAAAAATCACAATATATTGCAATATATTGCCTTGTTTACAGTATCGCAAAATATCGGGATATATCGTATCGTGACCCCTCTGTTATGATATGTATCGTATCGCCAAATTCTTGCCAATACACAGCCCTACTCAGAACTATGCAAAAAATAAAAATAAATCATGGAAATCTTGTTACAAAGCAGCCTTGAGATTTCTGAGCTTGCAGGCATCTAAGATGAACCACTGCATTGTGGAAATTGTGTCTTGTGAGTCAAACGAATCTGTATTCTACTATTTTTGGGGGGAGACTGGACTGTGATCTGCAACCAGTCCAGAAGTCACAGCTCTGTGAGGTCATAAATGTGTCCTTGGGTGAGGTAATTTACTCTGCTGGGACAACAGTATTAATTCAGAAAAGTACCTTGAGATTTTATGCTGCCTTGGAGGCAGATCTTATGCAGGGACACCTGTGCATTTATCAACAAGAAAACACAACATCTTCTTCAGAACCTATTCTACCCTACAGCAGGGCTATGGAGGATAATGGAATGGGGGCTGGATGGATTCCTTTTAAGTAAACCCCCGAGGTGAGGAACTTTTCATTTGCTGCAATTTTTGTGAAAAATGTTGAAGAAAAATTAAACTGGTTGGTAAACATTATTGCAAACCTAATTGTGTTAATACACTATTACATATAAGGATTGCCATTCTAAAATATATTTCTTTCTTTTGGACATTTCCACCTTAAAGAATTTATTTTCCCTTGCTTTTTCTACTTTTGGCCAAATTGTTCTTTCATATTTTATTCTTTGTCTTTCATTTTTGCATTCCCTAAACTCCCTTTTGTCTTTATCTTGATAAATGTTACATTGACCATGAATGTTTTAGTACCACATGCAATTTTGATAAGGGCACCACCATCCCAGTGGCTTTTCAGAATATGCTAAGTCCAATTGTGCCTTACACAGTTCATCATTCTCCTCTCTTTTACTCAAATACAAACAGGTGTTTAGAGGACAGTTGGGTATTTGACTAAACAGATTTTAACACAATTTTTGCAGTGAAATTTAGCATGTTTTAGTCTGTTAACTCATATTTTATAAGTCTATGTGTTGCAATTGGCCAAGATAGGCCAAAGAGAAATGCTCGCTCAGTTAAAAAAAGTTTGAAGCTGCTCATCTGTGAAAGTGATTTTAAAGATTTCATCAACATCATCGCTACCTCCTGATCAGCAGGTGTTGCAGCGTTTGCCTTCCCCCATCACTCAGCCCTGAAGGGTCAGAGTAAAAACTGAAAGAAAACATTTCAGCCCCTTAGAACTGATTGAAGCTTGGGTGACAAGGCAAGCAACATATGTCACTGCTTAGTTCTTCGGGTTTTCCGTTATTTTTTATTTATTTATTTATTTATTTATTTATTGCAACCATAAGGGAGAGCTAAATGTTAGAAATATTTTTTTTATTTATTTATGGCACATGATCGGATTTGTAAAGGAACTCATTAAACACTGCCAACTTTGAAACATGAACAAGGTCATCCTGCTGATGGTGCCATTTAAGAGTTTACTCCAGTTTCCCATATGGAACTCTGAAAAGCAGGTATGCCATCTACCTAAACAAATCTTATTTGTCTTCATAGTATCCTCAACAAATCTGAGCGTAAACGTGTGCCAAAACAAGAACTTCCCAATCCCAAATAACTCTTGCATGTATGTCATCATTGTTGACCTAGTTTCAGTCACTTCAGGCGTTTTTGTAGGTAAACAAACACAATTATTTGCAACTTTTGCTTATATGACATAACCCATAATGTGAGAGAAAAATAATCTAAAGATTTTGTTTCTTACTTTATGATTTTGTTATTTATATTCAGAACATTGCAAAGCTCTTATTAAACAAGTTTAGCGTTTTAATGTTGTCAACTTTTTTATTGAAACTTGCTCCATTCACAACTTTAATCATAACTTTTTTAAACAAAACACATACACACTAATCCTCTCCTTTGTCGGYGCAGACCCACACAGGTGTCGTTTTCACGCGTGCAGGATCTGCGGCGGCTGCTGTGACGTCAGGAGTGGAGCAGCGCGAGAGAGGTAGTTGAAATAGGGAAGAAAGAGGAGCGAGGCTGTGAGAGGAAAGCAGCCGCCAGGAGCCGGAGGATGCTGAGCTTCTGCTGAGAGTTGGGAACGACGCTGCTTCTGACACGCCATCCCATAATTATCCTGAACCGAGCCGGAGTGGAGGGCTGGAACTACAGACAGCGCAGTTTGGACGAGGCGTGTGTTAGYGCGAATTTCCTTTTCGTCTTACCACTGGAGAACGAAAGGTGAGGACTGGAGGTGGCATGAAGGTTTATTTGGAAATGTATTATTTTTTTAAACTAATTTTCCTGTTTTGTGCGCGTGGTGTTTGGATTTGTGGGTGAGCARAAGCTGTTAATTACGAATTAGTTTCAGCTGCGCAAAATCCCAACGAGTGAGGTGCAGGCTCACAGCCAAGGGCGATGTCGTTGACAGTCTGTGAGTGTTTAACCACACTAGTTCGGTTTGTTGTCTTTTGTTTGCTGCAGAATAGGGTGTRATTAATCTGTCACTGGGAGCAGTTTCTTGCTTTGGCACGGTCACATAACGCGAGGGGATTCTACCTGCACGGAAACAGCGTTTGTTAAATGGCTCCAGCAGGACAGGTCTGTGATCGGATGCGCCCAGCTTTGATCCAGCAACAGCACACATGGACTGTGAAAACACACCGAGACAGTCTTGCCCCTCTCTGGACACTACACGAATCTCTCCCTCAGTCTCACCCCACGGGTTCTCTTTGATCACCATTAGAGTCTGAGCGCGTTGGCTCCACGCGCTTGCTTTAGGGGGGAAAGGGACGAAACTCTTTAATAAGATTTACTCGTCTGATTAGGTTAAATGAGCTGCTTCAACGCTGTCTTATGGGGAAAATCCTTTCAGTGTCACCTGAGAGCTGGCGCAGCGGCAGCAAAGCTTCCGTGACAGCCAGCGGAGTGGGAAATGAGGGCTGTTCAGCGCGCACCGCTGCGGTGAACTGCCACGTACAATGTGGGAGCTCTCCGTGGTGCTGAAAACGCTCCAGCCTCCTCGGAGAGCTCCCACACTGCCACGTATACAGTGTGGGAGCTCTCCGTGTTGTTGAAAACGCTCCAGCTTCCTCTTTCTGCTCTCCTAAGTGCTCCTTTCTGCTGAGGGTTGTTGTTTGGTGTCCTCCTTGACATAAAACCCTGCACCCATCAACCAAAACGCGCCTTTCTAGGGACCATACAGCTGCAAGATCAGTATCTGTCCTCCTGATGGAGAACATTTGTGGCATGTTTGTTTGCACTTTAACCTGGATCCATGATTTCCCAGCGAAAACGGATTCACCACTCAATCTTAGCAGGGTGGAAGGGGTAAGCGGGGGATAAACAAACAGGCATGTAAGAATGCTGACTCAAAGCAGACTGGCTGATGGAGGAAAATAACCCCATCAAAGCGGCACGAGACAAAGCCACTTTTAATCACCCATGATTAAGCAAGTCGTGCCCTGGGGTTGGTTTGAGAAATAACGCTGTCAAACCGAATAGTGACTCAGTCAGGAGAAACTGTACTTTGCAACCTGGCACGTGACTGATTAGCTGTTCTATACAGAGAGTCGTTCCRGCCAGTCCAGCAGATTATGGCTGGTTGTTGCTTCAGAGACAACTTAATAGTCGGATGATTCAGAACACTTCCTGGCACGTCCCCGCACACGTGTACACACAAACTGTGTAGCCTTTCAGTCATTAGAGCTGAATTAGGCTTCTGGAGTGCTCAACTTATAGCCAATTAAACTGTGCAGAAGTAGAGGCAGCTTAAAGCAGCATGTGTTTGTGGAGAATACTGTATACCTCATATTAGGTTGATAAAACAAGCTAGTCAAAGATGGCAGTGGAGGTTTAAGCTAAGCAGAGCTTTTGCATGATATGCTCCACTTGCTCTGGCAGATTATTCGTCCAGGGCTCCAGAATGCAGTTAAATCGGTCATCATGAGCATGTAATTGACCTTTGGAGAAACGACAAAACTAAATGCTGCAGTGAGCTTTCCTTTTTCAATAATTTTCTACAAAGCATCAACACTGCTGTTATTTTTGTCACTGTTTATATGTGATTAGATTTTGACATCAATTAGAGCTGCTTGCAGTGTGTAGCTGCATATAGTTTGTAAATATAGTTAACCTAAATTCTGCAGTTTGAAATTGTTTCGGTATTATGATGAAATGCACATCACCCGCCACCTTTCATGCCAGTTTTAGGCTAAAATCATGTTCTATTGAGAAGAAAAATAGTTATAGTCCTTTTGGGCGAACATAAAAAAATAACCTAATGCGCCATCAGATGTGTTGGCTCTCAGAGTATAACATGCAAATTACTGTCAGTGACTCCAGCACCAGATTTGAGTTCAATATCTGTATTAAAAATGGCTGAATTAGTCGTTTTGTGTTGGCGAATGTGTGGCAGTGCTAGTTAGAGTTCAGCTGGCTGGATTTCAGGATGTTTCCACAGTTTGTTTTGTTATTTTCCCCAGCAAATGAGTTTTAGCTTTACCTTCTGAACCCAATTAGGTGCTTTTTAATCCACAAACCAAAAATGGGAAAAGATAATGCTAAAGCTCTCTTGCTGAAAATGTCTCATTTTAGATTGTTTTGCTCAAAGGCAGTTTGCTTTGTTTTATGATGATTTGGTTTGTTGGACATTTGTTGGCTGTGGGACAAAGTAAGAGTTTGATGAATCTAAACTTCCATTTATATATTTCATCAAGTAGCTAAACAGCAAAATATCACTTTTTTAATAAAAAAATCTTAACATAAAAAGAAATAAACATCACTTTTAATCGAAGAAAACATTTAAAACCTCCAGCACACATACAATTTGAGTTTTCAGCTTCGTGGAGTTTTTACCTCAAGGGCAAAAATAATTTTATGACTTGTTGGCAGCTCTTTGTCTTGCTTTTGCTTTAGACTGAGAAGAGTAAACCCTGTTCCTTTTTATGAAATTAAAAAGCCTGGGCTTAACAGAACAGAAAGCAAGGTTGATCACAGTGTAATCTGGTCATTGAATTAAAATAGATTATTTTTCCTGTCCTACAATCATTATTCACCAGTGAACAATTTAAATCCTGGGCAGGATTAAACCCTCAGGTTAAACAGGYGTGCTTCTTTCCCCAAACTGATACAACTGAGGACTTTGCCGTTGGGTGATTTAAAACAAGATGCATGACAATAGAAAGCAATTAATAAGAATAACACTGATCTAAAGAAGGCTAGTAACAAGCTTCATGGTTCTATTCCCCAGGCCCATTACTGCGCCTGTTGGTTCCCCATCGTAAGCATCCCCCATTTTCCCTCAGAGCCTGGAACTGCAAATGTGGGCAACGCAGTTCACTTGAAATTCTGATCAGTAATGTTGAACTTCTAGAAATGACCTTTACTGCTGCATCCCATATGAGCTGAGAGAAAYGGCAGTGCAGCTCAGACCAAACAGAGTCGCCGCTTCTGCCTGAAAGAGTTAGCGCAGAGTGAGGAATATGTGTACAGGGGTTGCAGAAAGGTCAGTCGACATATCTGTTTTCAGGATTGGCTTTAGTCAGCCATCTGCTAGCCCCCAGTTTGATGTCATTATCCCTCATTGGTCCGTTTAGAACACCAAAACAGAAGTTTCTTTGTTTTTAAACTTCATACTGTTGGTTGATTACACATTATTCACTTGGTTCTGTTCACAGAACTTCAGCTGTGGTCAGTTTTACAGGATCATTGCTTGWAGCTGACCCAGTCAGGCTGATCTGTCAGGACAAAAGTCAAGTTTTTCATTTGTCTCATTGAACAAGGTAATAATGTCGCAAATAACAGATGTGCAGAAGGATTAAAAAATCTATTTAGGCTTGTTAAGTTCATGTTATGACCTCCGCACGTGAAACATGAGCAGGTCATATTGTTTTCGTACGGTTTATTTTGTTTGATTTTATTTTAAGTTTTTTTCCAGTGATTTTTGGTAAACCGTACCACAAAAACGGCTGCACCGATCAACATGAAATTTGGCAGGGCTGTGGGTGAGTCTGACCTACACTGTGCGAGCCAACAATTTTACGATAGACCCCATATTTGAGGAGGGGGCTCCTTTCAAAGTGGGGGTGTCTGGAAATGCAAAAATGCTTAAAACTCAGAAACTGTTAAACATAGGAGCTTCAGATTTATTTTGTTGTTTAGCTCTGATGAAGCTCTATCCATCAGGCCCACCCCCCCCCCCCCCCCCCCCCCCCCCCGCGACGCATCTGAAAAAGGGTATCTGGACATACAAAAATGGTTATAGCTCAAAAACTATTTAACATAGGACCTTAAGATTTCTTTTGTTGTTTAGCTCTGAGGGGCTATCCATCAGGCCAACCCCGCGCCCCCTCCAAAAAGACCCCCACCAAAACCACTACAATTTTGGGATGCACCTAGTAGCATGACTTTTATTAGGAATAAAGACTTCTGAGTTCTGGTGCATTTGTGCGTGCGGGGGTCATAATGTTACCACTATGCGGTATCTAGTTTTTGTATTTTTTTCCTCCGGAGATTTTTGGTCAACTGTTGCACAAACTTGGCTGCACCGATCAACATGAAATTTGGCAGGACTGTAGTTGAGTCCGACCTACACTGCACCAGCCAACGGTTTTACGATAGACCCCATATTTGAGGAGGGGGCTCCTTTCAAAGAGGGGATGTCTGGACATGCAAAAATGCTTATAACTCAGAAACTGTTCAACATACAGTAGAAGCTTCAAAAAAAAWWTTTTTTTGTTGTTTAGCTCTGACGAAGCTCTATCCATCAGGCCCACCAATCAGTGCCCCCGACCCCCAGTTTATCTGAAAAAGKGATATCTGGACATACAAAAAGGGTTATTGCTCAAAAACTATTAAACATAGGAGCTTCAGATTGATTTTGGGGATTGAAAATGTTGATGCTTTTGAAACAAATAAAAATAAACATCTTCACCTAAAGACTAAATTCCTGACGCAAGCATCTAGTTCACGTTTCCCCTACAATGAATAAGACTAAGTCTGGTGGGCTGCAGCCCAGCCGACTTACAGTCTCCACCAAAAACAGTCATCCAACACTTTGTTTCTCCGCTGCGGACAAATTCACTTTGTCACGCGCAGCTGCGAGCTCTGTTTTCAGTCAGTCTCTGCCTTTGTTTCCTCGCCCCACGGCGGCAGCCGGGGAGAAAGCTGACGGCAAAGCGTGCTTTGCACAACTGACTGCATCAGAGCCTCATTCAGCTCGTTCCGTCCCCTAGCGGACA